TCAAGTGTTGTGTCCTGGTGAAAAGCTGTTTGAGCTCATATATGTGAAAGACTGATTTAGTCTTGAAAATCTTACGTCAGTTTTTAGAAAATGGAAATCCCCAGTGATTTTCAGATGGACAGAGGGACCTTGCAGTTCTGATGTGGCCACTGTGTAGTAGTTTTGGTATTCAGAGTTTTTTTCTTACAAAGATGTTTTGCAGCACTAATGTTACATACAAACAAAGAATGATAGAAAACAGGAAATGTATGTGTATCAGCATCTTTGGGGATATATACGTTTATGCATTCTGTGTTTGAGATGATCAAATAGGTCTCTTCCATCTCTAACTTTGTGTTACTCTCAGCGTACACCAGCTTTTGCCAGGCTTCCAGCCAGCCACTGTTACCACAAAGGTGGATAGATGAGATCTGCATTTTATCTACCTGGCGATCCAGTTAATGCTGCAACCTGTGTAGCGCTGGCTTTTCTCATAGAACTCAAAATGGTAGTGATAGCACGAGAAAGCTTTGGGTCGTCTGCAGAATCCTTATTTCTGGACCGTTTTTTATCCAATAGTGAAATGTGAGGTCCCCACACAGTTAAATCTATATTTATTTCTTCAGGTAGCTACCCCATGACACATGACACGAATGTAATTTGTTTTGTTTCCGGCAGCTTGAAGATCATGAGTATAAACCTTTAGATCCTAAAGATATACGTCTTCCACCCCCAATGCCCCCCAGTGAGAGACTACTGGCTGCGGTTGAGGCATTTTATAGTCCACCATCTCATGACAGGCCTAGAAACAGGTAAGAGTAGGTATAGCTAACTATGGTAAGGAAAATGCCCTAAGAAGCTGTCTCAAACCACGAAGTGCCTCTCTCTTCTTCGCCTGTGTCTTGGTTCTTCTAATGCTGAAATGAGTGCTCTTGTTGTATTTGAAACTGCACACGCTGTTTAATCTTACACTGAGTTTTGCGAGATCTTTTTGCCCAGGCCCTTTGTTCCCAACGAAATCTAGCGGAAATCCTGAATGTCTCCGTTGATCAAAGTAGAATTTTACAGATGTTGGTTCTATGTGTGGTTGATTTATTGCAGTGAAGGCTGGGAGCAGAATGGACTGTACGAATTCTTCAGAGCTAAAATGAGAGCGAGGCGGAGGAAAGGTCAGGAGAAGAGGAATAGGTGAGAGATCCTGTCTGCTGCCTTGTGATGCATGTGTTTGTTTGGAAGGTGCTAGGAATACCTTGGGCTAAATGCAGAGGGAAAATCTGTCCAGCAACATGCTGATGGAATAACTTGAGTTTCAACTCGCTGGAATTTCTCTGATTTGCAGAAAATCGTTTTTGCCACGCTTGAGTTTTCCCTGGATGGTCTGCAGAAATACAGTGCTTGTGTGTAGTACGAATTTGATCAGAAGTATATTTGCATATGTCGTGCTTTTCCCTGGAGTTTCACTGGGGTTTTTCTGCTTTTATCTGTGCAGTGGGCCTTCTCGGTCACGCAGTCGGTCTAAAAGCCGAGGTCGCTCATCCTCCCGGTCCAATTCACGATCTTCAAAATCATCTGGCTCCTATTCGAGGTCGCGATCTCGCTCTTGTTCTCGATCACGATCCTACTCACGCTCCCAGTCCAGGTAAAGTGCAACGGGCTGGATCTTGGGAACTGGGGGCGGGGGGGAGAAAACCCAACCATTGGGGCTGAACCTGGATGTTGCTCCGGTAACTTGTGCCTCTGACCTCGCGTGCTCTCCAGAAGCCGGAGCAGGTCCCGCTCGTCCCATAGCCGCTCGCGATCACGGTCACGATCAAGATCGAAGTCGTACTCCCCAGGAAGGCGGCGCCGGTCCCGGTCTCGCAGCCCCACTCCTCCGTAAGCTTGTGTTTGCTTATTTCTCTTTTTACCTTGGTTGTTTGGAAAAATACTAACAAGGGTGCCTTCTCATAAGCTGGGTACGATGAGCGTTTCAGCAAGTAGTAGAAAAGAAGATGGAAAACACATTTAGAAATGGTTTATATTCTGTACGTGCTTATAGAGACTCTTACTCTTGTGGTGGCTTTTTGTTACAACAAAACACTGTGCAGCTGTGAAGGCTTTGCGTGCTTCCTAGGAGGCAGGAGGGATCCTCTGAGTCCTCGCTATGTTAGGAAGACTGTAGTGTTTGATTTCCTTGGTACAAAGAAGCAGATGGGGGTGTTCCTGGCACCTTTTATAATTGTGTAATGTAACATCTTTATAAAATAATAACTTAGTAGAGTGGATGGGATTGTATTGGGTGTTAATGCTTAACAGAACATAAATTACCTTGCTTTGTGTCAGAACCAGGGTGACTTGTTCGTCATTTGTTCTTTTTATTTCCTCAGTTCTTCTGCTGGTTTGGGCTCCAGTTCTGGGCCTCCTATACCAGAGTCAAGACTTGGAGAAGAAAATAAAGGCCATCAAATGCTAGTGAAAATGGGTGAGATGCTGTTCTGGAATCTTACGCAAGCCGGGAAACAAAATCAAACACCAAATTCTTGGATATAATTAATTAATACATGTTCATAAGTAATTATCCTTCAGTATGGCAAGGTCAGTGTAAGGATATTGAGAGGTGTGAGTGTATAGAACACAGAGCAGTGGTGGTGGCTGTCTTTCTGGGCAGGATGTGGAAGGCAGGGACCTGAGTGTGGCGTCAAACAGAACTTCCCTACCCGAGGCATTTCAGCCTCTGGCCGCGGGGCTGACTGGACAGACGGGGCTCGCGCTCTTTCCGCTTGCCCTCTTAGAAGTTTTTAGGGGTAGTGCTGATGTTTGTCCGCTCCCAGAATCTGCATACTAATGCTTTTGAAATAAATGGGAGAATTCCTAAGTTGTTTCAGCTTGTCTGTTACCATCCTGCTGTATCAAATTGACGCTTTCTAGGTTATTTCCAAAATGTCTGTGTTCGTCTGCCTTCAGAATTGTAGTAATAGTTACGGGATTGCAATGTTGTGTCCTTTCTGCAGGATGGAGTGGGTCTGGTGGATTGGGAGCCAAGGAACAAGGAATTCAGGATCCAATTAAGGGAGGGGATATCCGAGACAAATGGGATCAATATAAAGGAGTAGGAGTTGCATTAGATGACCCTTATGAAAACTACCGAAGAAATAAAAGTTACTCGTTTATCGCACGCATGAAGGCCAGAGATGAATGTAAGTGAATGTTTCTAAGCAATTTAAAAATCTATGCAGACTTGATACTTTACTGTAGACTGTAAACCTGAATCAAAAGACTAGTAACTTAATTCTTTCTAATGTAATGGATACAATAAACCAGCAGGTAAGTAGACGTATGCTCTGATTAACCCCGCATCTTTTCCTCTTCAGGAGTTGTGTTGTATTCTCGTTTCTGAAAAGTGAATTAGCCTGTTCTGTCAGCCACTTCCCGGCTGCAGTACCGAGCCTGTGTCTCTGAGTGTTACCCTTCACGAAACGAGCAACCCCAGTGGTAGTGGAGGGAGCGACGGCTGCCAAAGCCAGACAGTCTTTGGGGTTGGAATGAAGTTAAACCACACTTACTGCTTGGCCCTGCCCAACTCCGAGGTCCCTACAAGTAGTGCTGTGTTCTGCCAAAGCCAGAACTGGTGATAAATTCACCATAGTGCAGGAAAGGTTCAGAAAAAGTGGAGGTGCTTCTTAAGAGATCAGAACAATTACCCAAACAATGGATTTTTGCAGAGAGTCTGTAATGTACAACTACTACACTTGCCAATGACTAAAAGGAAAAAAATTGGTGTGCTGAATGAAAAGTCACTTCTGCCTCTGGCTGCACTAGATCTGTGTAATAAAATGGGTTCAAATAAAGCCCAAAAGGAAAAATTCCTTACGAATAGAGCCCTCATTACATGAAACATTTCAGACAGCTTAGGTAACTGCAGAATGTGTAAGAACTCTTTTCCCTATTGTTTCAGTGAAGCGTGAAACGCAAGACCCTCCACCACCTGAATAAGACTCTCTGAAGAAAGATGTCTTGCATCTTCTACAAGACATTAAACTTGTATAAATCCGGATTAAAAGTCTGGAGGAAGTGACAAATGAATTTTAAAACTATGGTGAAAAATGGAAAGCTATGACATGTACTTCAACACTTGTCATTTAGTGTTTAAGGCCAGTTGTTACTCTGACATGTCTAGCAAGTTTAAGCATTTCCATTTATTTTGCAAAATTTTTTAATTAGTTACCCCTTTTATACTAGAATTAAACCCCAGTCACGCTGTCCCTGGTGCAGGATTGTGATTCATTCATTCCTGTGGAATACAGACATTATCTGATACGGTTCTATGTTCTCTAGTTCCATAATGTATGTTTATTTCTCTCAAAAGGTTAATTCTAATTGAAGTGGAGGGGTGCTGCCTTGGGATCAAGTCAGACTGATGCTGAGCAGTGTATCCTAATGTCTAAATGGGGAATGAAGCATCTAGTTCCAGTACAGGTGACCTATGAGCACTGTGCAAGCTTGTTAGAACCTACCCTACAACTTAACGCCCCTACACACCAGCTGCTGCAGTCACAACTCTGCTCAGAACACGAGGGTTAACTGTTCTAGCTTCTCACGCGCTCTAAGGGATGTTCAATGCTTTGTAATGGAAGACATTCTTTAAGCCTTTTATATTTTTGTATATACCCTTTAATAAAAGCTACTTAGCTCAATAGAAGAGAAGCCATTTTCTCTGCTCTGCAAGTTTCTAACAATGAAGTGTTCTTGGAAACTTCCTTTAATCTAAATGAGAAAAAAAAAAAAAAAAAAAAAACAAACACAAAAAACGCCCCCAAACAAACCTTTTGTAACTGTTTCCAGAGCCCACCAGCTGAAGATGTTAGGCCCTTACACTGCACTTCACTCCCGAGGTCTGCGTGGTGGTAACCTCTCCCCGAGCCTGTGTTTGTATAGCAGAAACCTCTTACAGCCATTCAGTTACTATGGTGAAATATCAGTTTGTTCTAGATCTACTGTAGTTGTGGAACTGTAACTGTCTGTGAATCAGCATACAACACCTGTATGTTACCAACTTGTGAATTTTATTGTTCTGCCTTCCAATAAACACTTTTTTTTTTTTTAATAAAAACAAAATGATGGCTCATATTTCAGAGTTAATGGATTCCTGTATGGTGGCTGTAAGCCTTCCATGGCTTGACACTACTCCACGCCCCAACCCCCACAGTTATTCAATAGGGCCAGTTCTCTAGAAACACTGGTTAAATATGGCACTGAAGCCAGGACAGGGTATTTTTCTCCTGTGAGCACGTTCCTTGGGTGGTGGTGTGCAGACTTTCACTTCTACCCTGATCACAGATGGGATCACTGCTCACCCCATCTACATGATAAACACAGTAAGTGTTTTCTTGGTTTCTTTTTTGCAGAACATGGGCACAATCTGGCTGAAGGTTCCTCCCCCTCCCTAGATCATGTACATTAGTACAAAATTCAGAAATAGGAAAATAAATTGTGTATAAAAGAAGATAGTACAAATGTAACTGTAACTTTGTGTCTGTGCAATTTGGAAAGGTTTCTCGTTCCACCTTGAGATCTGTAAATGTAAATTTTACTTCAAAGAGTCAAAGCTGGTTTTCCTTCTGTGCTTTCCAAATTTCTTCACGTGCTTGCTCAAGTGTTAGAGGTGGGGATTTGTGGTTCTTGATGTACTGCAAAAAAAAAGTTAATATACAAATTTATTATGTGGATAAATACTTTCTGGTATTTAATAAATCTTCCTGTCAAGGTACCTGCACTTTATACTAGCAGCAGCAACCAATGCTTCTGTTGCAGCATTAGGAAGATCCTTGCTCCTTTGAGGACACCTAAACACTACAGCAGAAAGTTTTTTCTTTCACAACTCTAGCCTCCAGTGAGACATTAGTCTTTTTTTTACTGTATGAACTCCTCGCTCGTTAATGAGCACAGGCATGAGAGTATTCTTCTATGAAGCAATTTCTTTAATGATAATGTGAACTTTATCTGATTCATTAATATACAAAGAAAATGAGTTTGCTGCAAGTATTAGAAGAGTTTGGAAAGGAATACACCCTTACTCTATCTAGGCTGCTGTCTAGTCTCACAAATACCTCTTTAGCCTCTTCCAGCGTATGGTAGTGGAACTTCTCGCTCTCTAATGACTCCACAAGGGATAAGTGAAGGTGGTGAATGTTCTCTATAAACTGCTGAGTCAACATCAAGTGCTGCTTCAACATGGCATTTAAAACAAGGACAGAGGGGCTGTATGCTGTCAAGGCTGTGAGAGATAAAGGGAGAGCATATATTTTAGTGAAATATTACGGTAGGGTAGTAAGGGCTAAACAATCCCAGCAGGGGTTAGATGCATAAAATATAGTAAGAAACATTCTTCAGTACCTTCTACTGCATCCATGCTGATGGTGTGACTGGCAACAGGTACCGGGTCAACGTAACTGTGTCCTACAGGTGGGTCGAGGACAGCGGAGGCGTTCACTGTGCACAGGGTAAAGTGAGAATTCCTGGGTTTGGAGGGTGGCCAGGTTTAGTGCTACAACTCGGTTTGACCTCCACAGTTGCTGTAGAGCCTAGCAGGGGATCCCGTCAGCCAAAACCACGCTAAAATAGTTCTACGACCTCCACAGAGTCTTTACTCTTACATTCACAACATGCCATTGTGGAAGGCATCTTTTCTAACTCTAGACAGTGTAAAAATAAAGGCTTTTGTACTTGAAGGAAGCTACTGTTTTCAAGCAAACCCAAGTTTCTAGTTTCTCCTCCCTGAGTGAGGCAAGAAGTGGCTCTCACCACTTTTTCCTTTAAGAGAGGTAGGAACGGAGCTACCCCTCAGGAACAGTTAGAGGTCACATCTGTCTTTTGTAAATGGGGCCATTATGCTTTCTCAAGAAATAAACACAATGCAGAAAAGAACTCTAGGGTGGGTGATCACTTTAGTAACACTACAGTAGTATTGCTTACCATAGTAAAGATACAATAAGAATGTTGAATCCCATTTACGAATGTTACTTGGACTGTCACAAGCTCTGTCACTAATACTAGCTCACCCATCCACAGTTCCCATTGTGGGGTTTTTTTAGCCAAAACCAGTTCCAAGTTCTTACTCTGTTGTCCAAACCCAATCTTTTCTACAGATAGCAGATTAAAGTGCTGGACTTTACAGAGTTTTGAATTTAATGTCATCTAGGGGAAGCTAGTACTGAACTAAGAATTCTATCATGGCTGACTAGGCTCACATATAAAATACAGAAATGTAGAAATTTCCTGAATGGGGCAGTATCTCCTGAACTTACTCTTTGACCAGCAGTAGGTGAATGGAGGATCCACCGTCTGAACCGCAGTTTCTCTGACAGTTACTCTGTGTCCCCGGTCACGCTGTGCTCTGGTAAGTGAGGGCAATGATGCTGGAGAGGGGTGTTTTCCAGAATATGTGCAGCTCTCAGAATGTCCCTCTGACATTTTTGATACAGGTTCCCTGTCTGTTGTAGACAGGGACCTTTCAAAATCTTCAGAATATTCTGAATTAACAGTTCTCTCATCATGATCAAGATCATCTCGTGCCTGTCTAGGAACACCTGCAGAAACTCCACTTAAATGCTCAGAGATTTCTGCTTCAGTCACAGTTTTCTCAATATTCCCATCAGAAGCATCATTCACACCAGTTACTGCACTTGTCATTTTCAGAGAAGTTTGATCTTTTTCCACCAGGAATGTATCATTTTTTGGATTTCTGCTTGGTTCCTGAGTAATTTCAAGGTCTATCCTCTGTAAAACAAAACAGTTGTATGTTAGGAGAATCAACAAAATACAACCTAGAATATGCCTCAATTATTCTTCACCTGTTCTGCTGCACATCACTGAGAGTTAGCTAATACTTTATTAGGAAATAAAAATGTTACTCTTCTGTATCACCTTGCAAACTGTACAGTGCTATTACATGTAGTAAGGAAATGCAGACACTAAAAAAATAATTTGGCCAGGTTTCAGTAGAATGTAAAATCCTGATGTAACCCTTACAGCTAGTGAGACATGCCCACCTCAGCCTATGAGTAGAGCATTAGTATTTATTTGTGAACATCCACCCTCCACCAAAGGCAGAATGGGAAAGTGTGCTAGTAGGGAATTTCTACTTACTTTCTGCTTTAATTCTGCTACCTCATTAATGATATTTGGTGCCAAATCATCAAGGCTCAGGATATTCAATCTGAAGTCTACAATGAAATGACATGTCGTCATGAGAATATGCATGAAAATTACAGTGTGGTTTCCCTTAATTTTTCCCACTTTTATCTCTTAACTCAGTGCTACATTCCTAGTTTACAGTGTAATACTAAAAGGTGATAGCAGTCAATCACACTAAACCTTCAACTTTGCAGCAGCTCTTTCTAGTATCCTCCTCTGCCTGTCGGTGGATCTGCCAACCCAAGTCCAAGAGCTTCTTGCTGCTGCCCACTTACACTTGTTCTCCCTCACACCCATTAGCACATTGTCCCATTGATATATGGAAACTATTTTAAATGTTATAATTGTTTTGATGTCATAATTATCAAACAGGAAAGAATCATTAAACTGAACCATTAAGTCAAAAGCCTTAATATACAATACAAATATTTTAGGTGAGAAAAAAATAAACAATCATAATTCCTTTGATAAAGCTTCAGTTTATGTATAATCACACTGCTGAATACTTTTAAAGAGAGTATTTGACCATCTTTATTAGTAAACTCATCAGTAGATTATTAGTACAATTCATGCCAAGTCTACTGAGACAATATTTTAGAGCTAACTTACCATTTGAGCTGCTGCTCGTTGAATCTTCTGCATCAGCTGCTTCTGAAAATAAGTCATCTAATGATTTTATTTCGCTTCTGTCACTTGCAAGTGATATTTGGCTTTGCTTGGTGTTGCCGGTTCTGGGCAGAGTAATCTTTACAGTATCATCTTTCATGGAAGGCAGCGACTGGGATCTCACGTTATGTAGTGCTGACAGGTCTCTGCTGGCTGGTGAAGGTGAATTACCTCTACCAAAAACATTTTTCTCTGAGTCTTTGCTATGAAAGGAAGATGCTTTAGATACCTCTGTCGGTAAAATTTCCTTATGAGATGGAGGCGGCATTCCTGATGAAACTGGAGCCCTACTCTTTTGAAGAACATGAAAAAGAGATTTATGTGTTACTTCATTTATTACGTGCAGATCACTAAAAAGGAAAATAAATTATAATAGATTAAAAAGAGTAATTTTAAAATGTGAATTGAACCTAAATCATATCATGAGCAAACCATAAATGCAAAAGTAAAATCTAGTTTTCTGTTGTTATATAAATAGAAAGTGGCCCACCAAATAAAACAATTCCACAAAAGTGTATATAAAAATACATAATCCAGCAAGGTCTGCATTTACCTTTCCACTCCATTTAGAATCACTTACAACAATCTTCTGATTCTCATTTCCACTGGAAAACTCCAAAGAACACCCCATCAATTCTCTCATTTCCTCTTCATCACTATCCAAACCAAGCTGTTGTTTAACCATAACATTCTTTTTAGGGCTCTGGATGCTTTCCTCTTCCTTAGAGCAGGCATCACTGAGGGCTGTATTTCCACCAGCAGTAGTGTAATTCTTCAGGTATTTCTTGCCCCTTGTGCCATGTTCACGACTGGAAGCAGATGATAGAGACTCCTCGTCCAAAGGCTTCTGGCCTAAGTCAGCGTTTTGCAATTCTATCTGCTTCCTTCGATTCCTGATTTTGTTTTCTAGCTGTGCCACTCTCCTCAGTGCTGAGCTTGACCGTGTATGGGAAGTGCTCCCCGGGGTGCTCTTTGCCACATATCCGCTCGCTGTCTGCTCAGCGCTTCCCGACACCTGGCACCACTGCCTTCCACGTCCGTTTTCGTTGTGCACCTTTAGGAATCTGCTGTGGCTGAAGGGAGCTCTTCCAGTTTTCTCCAGCTCTGTGTCAACTGTGGAGAGGTTACCACTGGGGGGAAGAAAGACGCTGGGCCCAGCGCTGATGGTTCTCCAACGGGGTGCATCACTGTATCCCTGCCGATAAAAGGGCGCACAGAGCCCTCAGAGGCGGCCCGGTTCAGCTCCAGGTCCCCGGGCTGAGCAGACACCCCCGCTCCTCGCGGCCCTGTCCTGGTCCCCGCCACTGCCGGGCCACCTCCTCCCCACTCCCCGGCGTAGGCCCTCCCCATCCGCGGCCGAAACACCTGCCCGGGGCTGGCGCCTCACCTGCCCTCCGCCCGCGGGCGCTCTCCGCGCCCGAGCGATGGCGGCCATCGGAGACGGACCGGCCTGAGGCGGCGCCGGCGGCTCACCCAAGCCGGGCCCAGAGAGAGCGGCGCCGGACCGTAGCGCAGAGACACCGACCCCCCCCAACATTCCACCCCTTCATTGGCTCCGCTCAAAGCCCCGCCCATCGCGAGCCGGCACTGCCTGGGAGTAACCAGCCAATCCCAAGGCGGTATACTGCCGCTGGCCCGTGGGCGCGCTGACTACAAGCCCCAGCATGCATTTCGCCGCGCGGGCACGTGGCGGCCGGCTCTTCCCGCCGGGGCGCTAAACCAATCTGATCCCGTTTCTCAAGCCGTTAGGTAAAGCGCAGCCAATCAGAGCCCGCCGCAGGAACGCCGCGAGGCTGTAGGTCGGCGTTGCTCGAAGGCGCGAGGGTGGCAGTTCGCGTTCGCGTGAGGGCGACGGCAATGGCAATGGCAATGGCGGCTGTGGCGGCGGGTGGGCCGAGAGGGCACGGCGGGAGAGACCCGGCCGTCGCTGCGCTGAGCCTGGCGCTGCTCCTCGGGGCCGCGTTGGGCTCTTCCCGGGCTACGGTGTATTTCCAGGAGCAGTTTCTGGATGGAGGTTGGGCGAGGACAGGGGGGTAGAGGGGGCAGCAGGGCAGCTGCTGGTAATGTTTGGGGTGGGGGGTGGAAGGAGCCCCCCGAACTGTCCTGTGCTCACTGACCCCGTTCTTGTGTCGCTCTTGGTGCTGGCATCTCGGGACAGCCAACTGGCAGAAGAGGTGGGTGATTTCGGAGTCCAGGGCAGACCTTGGGAAGTTTAAGCTTGCTGCAGGGAAGTTTTACGGAGATCCAGTGCGAGATAAAGGTATGTGGGTTTCACTCAAAATATGCTATGGGAACCGACTCTAAGGTTGGGGATTTGCCTTTATACATGTGCCGTGCATGGCAATAGAAGTATTTTTTTCTTCACAAATGGAGAAAAATATATGCTTGACTATTATACTAAAATATTTACAGGTCTACAAACCAGTGAAAACTCTAAATTTTATGCTATCTCCTCACGATTTAAACCATTTAGTAACAAAGGGAAGATTCTGGTCATTCAGTATACTGTGAAACATGAGCAGAATATAGATTGTGGTGGAGGATATGTTAAGATTTTTTCCTCAAACTTGGACCAGAAGAACCTAAGTGGAGATTCACATTATTACATCATGTTTGGTGAGTTTATATTTATTTCTTCGTTACTAAAATACTGTCACTGCTGTTGTGCAGTTCTTCAAAGATCGTTGTGGAAATGGTGGAAAAATCATAAAGGAAGGCTGTTTTTCTAAAAAAAGGATGTTGTGACTGTAAGGAGTTAGCTCTTCCATGGTTGAGAAATCTCTATGTATTAACAAAATAAATATATTTATGCAAACATTCTGAGCTGATTTGAAGGACATAACTGAAGATTATTAGAGTGAGCTTAGAATAAAAGTAGTTGCTCAGCAGGAATTTTTTTTTAAGATTTATAACTGAAACAACATACTGTAGGCCATTATCTGCCCTTATATACTTGTATGTAATTTGCAGTGACTTAGTGAAATTTGGCATTACATATATACTTATATAGTTATTCAGCTTGTGCTATAGATGATTTTTATTTTCCCGGATTTTTGATTTCTGGGTTAGTTTTCCAAACTACACAAAATCTAATTCTACGGTAGGCAGAGACTTTGAGTAGAAGCCTCGTCATCCATTAAAAATGAAATGGAATACATCAGAATATGTGGAACGGGAGGGATGTCTAGTAGTATTAGAAGAAAGAGGTAAACAATCTATTTTTCTGCAAAGAGGTTAAGGATACAAAGTATATGATCTCTTTGTAGGGCCAGATATTTGTGGATCTGAGACAAAGAAAGTCCATGTTATTTTAAATTACAAGAATAAACCCCATCCAATCAAGAAACCAATCAGATGCAAGGTAAATACACATTTCAAAGATACATAAATTTTAAAATAAACAAGTTAAAGGGATATTGTGAAGAAAAAAAAAAAAAAAACCCACAACTATTCCAAACATGTAACACCTTTGAGAAGTTCTACTTTTCATCATATCTTAAACGTCATGTTAATTTTGGGACCTCAGATATTTCTTAGTTCATTATATGTTTGCAATGTAATGATTGCATTCATAATACCTGACATTGATACTGGATGGACCAAGGTTGCAGGGGTGCTGTATGTTATTAAGAAATGTATTAAGAAATGAATTGGAACTTTAATTCTATACTTCTTAGTGAGAAAGCGCTTTCTTGTGATATAAATGTAAGATCCTGTCTATATTTTCAGTATTTTTGCTTTTAACCTATGTATTAAGCCTTTTTATGTGCCTTTGCTTTAGCTATTTGGGATATAAATAACTTATATTTTATATTAACTAAAATCATTACTTTATCTGATACTGTTTTCAATCTTGTGACACTTCCTTGTGCCAATCAGATATAGACTGTGTTTTCTTACAGCCATTCAGTTTTGTTCAGGGACCCCGATGGGAGGACTGGGAAATACATATGAAAAATGGTTTTGATTTTATTTTTCCTCCTCTAGAAGACTTATTTCTGGGAAATATTTCTTCTTACTACTGCTTATTTAAAAATCCATTAGAAATCAGTATTATAATTCTGGTGTGAGGCAGTTCCTAAGAGCTATATTTAAGGTTCTTAAAAATTTTACTTGCTTTCTTTAAAACCCAGGTTGACGGATATACACATCTATACACTTTGATTATAAGGCCAGATCAGACTTATGAAGTAAAAATTGATAATGAAATGGTTGCATCTGGCAACTTAGAAGATGATTTAGAATTTTTGCCACCGAGAAAAATTAACGATCCAGCAGTGAGGAAACCCATTGACTGGGATGATCGAATCCAAATAGATGATCCAAATGACATCAAACCTGAGGTAATTTGCTCTCCTTATTCTGCATTGCCGGATTATTTAATTTCTACTGGATACATGTTTGATATAGTTGAACTCTGCGCTAGTTTTGCTTTCTTAATCTTCCTGTGTCTTTTTAAAGGACTGGGATGAACCTGAATATGTTATGGACACTAGTGCTGAGAAACCTGAAGATTGGGATGATGGTGTGAATGGAGAATGGCATTATCCTATGGTCAAGAATCCTCTATACAGAGTATAAATAATGTCATAATCCTAGTTGTGGATAACACTTTAAGCAGCTTTTCTTTGCCTGACTGTTTTCAGAACATGTGGTTTATCCTAGGGGGAATGGAAACCAAGGCAGATTGATAATCCAAATTATAGAGGAGTTTGGCCTCATCCACAGATTGACAATCCAAATTACTCGCCAGACTTCAGTATCTACAGCTATGAAAATATTAGCGTCATTGGACTAGATATCTGGCAGGTGAGATTTCTTTACTGGAAAAATAGTTATCTCACTAGGTATATAGCAACTTGTTTATCCTTTGCATAGGAACATTATCTATTGTTTTGGGATCTTAGGAACCTGTGTCTTTAACTTGCTGTTATTTAAATATGTGTACAAAATTGAAGAATCTATAAGATGCACTGATCTTCTGTTGTAGTTATTGTTTGGATGATAATCTACAGGTAAATGAATGGCCTAGTTTCTCTAAATGTTGTAAAATATTACTTATTTCACCTGACTTGAGGTGTGTAACTGAGACTTCAAGCGGCTCAGTTACTCTGGAGTTACCCAAAGATTAATGAGAAGAAAACTGCTCTCAGGGTTGCCTCTACCTTGGGTTTCTTGACTAGCTAGTGACTAGGCTTAAAGCTCTTAAAGAGCAGTGAAGTGCCTGAAGTTAAAACAAATTCTTTAGATTCCTGAAAACAGTTGTCCAAAAAGAGAATCCTTCATCAAATTCTGTAAATATCTATGGGGTTCTTGACATGATTACTCTATATTGATTACATCATACAAACATATTGTTAAAAAAAAAAATAAAACTCTTAAGAAAACAGGCATTCTTGGGTTTTCTCCCTATTCTTTCAAAGGTGAGAGCTGGCACTATTTTTGACAACTTCTTGATAACAGATGATGAAGTTTATGCAGAAGATTTTGGCAATGAAACATGGGGAGAAACAAAGGTAACATGAAATTCTTGTGTCTGTTTTGGTTCTTTATTAATTACCACAGTTTAAAAATCCCCCGCCTAATCTGATCAAGAACCTATTGGTGCATAAAAATGAAATCTTAATATTAGGGTCCTGAAAAGGAAATGAACATAAAGCAGACTGAGGAAGAGCAGGAGAGAGAAAGGGTTACAGAAGAAAAATACTTTGAGCAACGGTTTAAAAAAAAGCTAGAGAGCAAAAAAGAATCTGGAAAGGATAGAACAGTGAGGAACACTGTCAAGAAGGAAGAGCTGTAACTGTTACTTGAAAGAACTTCACATTTTTTTCACTTAAATCACTTGGGGATTTTTTCATTTAAGGATTTTGATATTTTGTTAACAGCTTGTTGAACAGAGCATGAATGGAGTTGTATTAAAACATGATTTTTTTTTTTAAATTCAACATTGAATGTTATTACTAGTTTCCATTATTTTTATTAGTACTGTAATACAGTTAATAGAAAAGGTTAGGATTTTTAATTAACTGTATCTTCACACTGCTGAAATTTATTAAAACCACTTGTAATAAAGCACTTAGTTTTGGAACTGTTTTACACTTTGACGGTTTAATAATAAATGTAAAATTGATGCTCATTTTTGTGGAGGAAATATCATAATAAGCTTTTTACGGTATTTCATTAAAGAGTTCAGCATGTCAAATGTGTGAAGTGTGTTTCACAACATACTTCAGACTAAGGAGATAAGCTTTGCTAAGATTCTGGAGTAATGGTGCACCTGTCAGATTTTCAAAGATTACCGCAGCTGCGTAGCTGCCATGAATGTGCCCTGCCCGTTCCCTCACTGTTTGCTGCTGAGGGAACCTTCTAGCTCTGTCTCGGCATGGGACCCGAGTGACCGTAGTCAGTCCATCCACAAATCTGTCCTTAAAAGTTTAAATGTATCCAGACAATTTTTCTGCTTCAAAAATCTGAAATGAATACATACAGTCCATGGAAGCTGTCTTAAATTTTTTTTTTTTTTTTCTGATAGGGTGGTAGGAGGAGGAAGTTGAACCAGTGAATGATGTGCCTATTTTTCTGTCTGACCTCTCTTGTAACTCAGTTCTGTAACTTGTTCAGTCACTTCCTTCATCCCTTCTCAGGTCCTTCTGCTCTTCTGCGTTCCCTCCCCCTGTCCCCAAGAACTAGTGCTATAAACTCAGCAAAAACTGAAGCCAGACTTGCAGACCCAATGGTTTTGCGTTTTCCTCTCGGCTACCCTGATGCTGGCTGAGCAGAGCTTTGTGTGGTAAGGCGGTAGGGAGCGGGAGGATCTGTGGAAGCCTCGACTTCAGCAGGGCCACTTTCTAGCCTGTGGAGCAACTAAGGTCAAATTATTTTGCTTCTGCTTGGCTGAGTGCTGTCCCCTGTAAAACAAGCCCAGTGACACTGTGGGGTGAAGAACTTTGAAAGTTATTGAAATACACTGTAACGACAGTCACTCTTCACCTTTTTTCCCAATCAGATTCCTGTTGATTTAGCTTTTATATGGCCACAGTGCTTCAGGCTGCTGTTCAATATTTGCATGTTGCAGTCACTGCTTTGATAACTTTGTTGTTTTTATGCTGAATATTTGATCATAGACCAGAGGAGGCTTAACTGGGTGAGGTCTGTTTTGACAAGGTTAACTGTAATGAAGGAAAATAACTAGGTTTGTCCAGGAGAAAGTCGGATGCAGGTCATGCAGCTAAAAGGTCAGTCAGTGACTTGACTCGGTTACCTGGAAGAATATTCCACCGGGCAGCTGCAGTCTTCCCCAGCCTTACTTTGTCCATAACGTAGGTAGGTCACCGCCAGCTTTGCTGGAGGCGGCTGGAGAAGAGCCACGTCTGGGAGCACAGAGCTTGCGGGAAGCAGGGACTGAGCTACGGCGGGAACAGCCCCAGCCCGTCGCGCTGGGGAACGGCAGCCGGGGCCGCCTCACCCACGGCCGCTTTGTTCCCGGCTCCAACGCGCTCCCGGGCGCCGCGGCCCTGCAGGCCCCGGCTGCCGCCCGCCCAGGCCCGGCCCAGCGCTGCCGGGCGCGGTTGTCCTCCCGCCGCCGCTCGCCCCGCCTTCCCCCCGCCCCGGCCGCTGCCCGAATCAGTGGGAGGAAGATGGCGGCGCTCATCCCCCTCAGCCAGCAGGTAACCGGCCCGGCCCGACGGAGCCTGTCGGGGCAAGGTGGGAGGGAGCGGCTGAGGGGAGATGCGGGTTTCCAGCCCCCGGTGGGTGAAAGCCCAGCGGGGAAGGGACAGCGGGGCCCCCCTCTCGGTGCGGGGCCCCCCTCCCGCAGGCGGGTGCATCCGGGGCCGGGTCGGCGCTGGGGCATTAGGCCCTGCCTCTCCCCGCGGCCGGGGGGTGGCTGGGCCCGCCGGGGGGAGAGGGGCGATGCGGGGCGGGGAGCAGGCCCCGGAGGTGGGGGGGGCGAGCAGCTCCCAGCTGGTCCCCGCTGCCGGGCCGGGGCTGAGCCTGCTGGGACAGGCGCCGGCCGCTTCTCTGGGGGCACAAAAGGCGCTGGCGCCCTCCTCTCATGGAGGCCCTGGAGCTGCCCACCTGGGGAAAGGGCAGGGCAGCACTGGAGCTTTCTGAACGCTTTCCCTTCCCGAGCTGCAGCGCCTGGGTTTGAGCTGCCGGCATTTGTGCGGTCCGGGGGTTCGAGGTCCAGGGCTGGGCTGCAGGATGGATGGGGCTCGTTCGGGACACTGACTTTGGACCCGTCACCCTGTTTTTCTCTTTGTAATAGGAGTAAACGCCGCCTTTAGCTGTTGGGGTGTCATGACTGTGCTTAATATTTGGGAGGTGCATGAGTAGCATAGCCATAGGCGCGGGTACACCAGCAAGGGACTCAGTAGATAGGAATGAAAAGGAGATTTTCACCCATCGACTGGAGAATGAGGCTTCTGCGGGAGAGTAGAAGACCCTGAACCTTGCAGCTTGTCTAGCACAAGGAGAGCGGCATGCCTCTGGGAAGCGGCTGTGTTTCGAGCTCTTGTTTAATGTTTGGTATCCTAGGGTATATTTTTGTGGTTATTGTTGTTACCAGTTTTTGATTAATTTCTCACTCAAATAATTTAAATCTGAACACTGTGATCACTGCTTATTCTTTTCCATATTCCTGTGAAGACAGTCGGTTTACTTATTTCCTTTAAAACAAAAGCAACACCACCGCACCACCCCCCAATGCCTTGAAATTAAAACTGTTTTCTACGCTGTAGTTAGGCCAGTCAGAAATTGAGAACTGCTATTGGTGGTTCAATTTATTTAAATATATTGATTTCTTTTTAATAATGGACTTTTGCTTGTGATACTCTGAAAATTTATCTTTCAGTGGAGTTATATGATGCTTGGGTAATATGAGAGCGCACTGCTTTTTAGCTTCTGAATAGCAGTAGGAGTCCTGATTAACATCTGTTTAATTAAATGAACATGTTTAGAAACATCTGAAAACATCCATGCACATACAAACTGTTATAAAAAGTTTTAAAGTGAAGTAATGTGATGCAAAATATATATGTAAAAGAAGCTATGGACTTGAAAGAGTTTGTTATTGTGGAACTTCTATAATACATTGGTAAAAATGTATCAAATATTTATTTTACTAGAAATCCTGCTTCTGTCTTCTTTAAAATCTAATTGGGAAGGGACTGGCATCAATGGTATTTTCTTTTGTATAACGTTTTATGTTGAGGGAAAAGGGCCATGTTCTGTGAACATACCAGTTTGACATTTTTCAACTCATTCAATGGAAGCATCCTATTTTTAAAACTTCTTTTTCTTATTGAACTGTCAAGAGTAATCTAGCTGTAATCAGGGCAGTAAACAGAATTTCCCTGGACGTGAATGAACTTCCTCTTTTAATAGCCTCAATTTCGTGATTACTGTAGAGATACATGCTAGTTATAATAAATGCCAGAAATGCTATTAAAAGGAATAGGAGAGGTTACATGTGCTGTAATGTTGAATCATGTTCACACAGAAACATATAAGAATATTGACATCAACATATAAGGAAGTATAAACAACATGAGTAATTTAAGTGTGTAAAAGTGTTTAATCATATTTGTTTTCATAAATTAATTTTATTACAGTTCTATTGTTCTATGAAGTTGTGGTTTATGAAAGAGAAGTGAGATGTCTCAGAGTATGCAAACTATTTAACATTTCAGCTCTCTTTGTTTCAACTGACTGTGCATAAAAACAGTTGAAGAGCAAGTATGTAAACTTGGAGTTAAGTCAAATCCACTTTCAGTTGTGGTTTATCTTTGATAACTTTCTTTTCTTGATTGTTTGACCACCTTATCAGTGGTCTTTCCACTGTGCCAGGCATGTTCAACCTACAGCCTCTGGAGGTTACAGAGAGTTATGTTAGAGATATTGGGACAGTGCAGATCATTTTGTAGCTCAGTCTTGTGAGACAACTCAGGATACTCGGCAAGTAGAGTAAGGGCAAAGGTAATCTTTCTAGGGCAGCAGCAACCTTTTGGCTCTCATCTTTGTGGAACACCTTATTTTCTTCCCCTTTCACAGTACCTATTTTCATCCATCATATGATGTGACAAGAGTGGCTGAAAAAAAATTGTGAAACAGGAGGACACCAAGGAGAGTAATTCATCTGATCCAGAGTTGTTTGCGGCCCTGAGATGACCTCAGGAAAGAGGCTGCTAGGACTGGCTTTATTAATTGTTCTGGTGGCAGCAGCTTATGGCTGCCTTTTTCCTAGACCTGCATTAAGGGACATGGAGACGTATCCGTGTGCATGTACTGTGTGTACCACAAATGCAGTGTAGCAGATCTGCTGTGAGAGTGCAAGTTTGAGACTTGAACTTCAGATTTGTACAGGAAATCAACTTAGAGGTCGGACAAGAAGGTGCCAGGGTTCTGGAGGGTGTTTAGGAGATGGTGTCAAGTGTTGATCATAGATGACATTTTGGGGAATATGGAGTAGACATAAAAACCAGAGGGTTGTTAAACTGTAAGTCAAACAACTGCTATGTAACAGGTTATATCCTTTGACCACTCATCAACTGTAAACTCTTCAAAATTATTTTCTCTGATTGCCAGCATTGACACTGTCTTGTGTAGGTTCTTTATCAGTAGATGTCATGAAAATACAGAATCTTCTTGAATGATAGTGTTGGAGTCACATGTGGTGATGGGTAGATAGGCAGCTGTGCTATTTTCATCACTTGAGACCATTTTGTCTGGTCTGCTTCATCACAGAGATACAGTCATTTAGGTAAATCAGTCAGAGAGGCTTTATCTTTGTAAAATTCTGCAAGTGAGATTGAGTGATGAAGTGCTTTCCAGCAGCACTTGGATGAATATATTGCTGTAGAAGAAACTTCACAGCATTTAAGCACATTACCCTGGATTCTTGCCACCTCGGTCAGGTAAGTCAGCTGTATGTCATAGCTGACAATATCAAATGAGGATGACAGGAATGTCTGGTGATGGGATGAGATCATTCAGTACTGCTGCTGGAGCGGTTTGCTCTGTATCTTGGTATGAATCCAGTCTCCATGTGCTCGAGGATACTCGGCCAAATTAGAGGAGCTTGTAGTTGGTCCTTGGCTAGTTTCTTTGAGCCTTCTGATAAACGAGAGGTATATAATTGGATGATAGTTGGCTGTAACATGCTAAATCTTATTCAGAGTTGGACA